TTGTTAACACATTTTTACAAATCATGACTACTAAGACCGCAGTAGATACGTCGAAAAAGAAGTCAGCAATGGTATTTCCACCCTTGTATATTATATTTTTTGATGGAATTTTTATTGATACTCTATCACTGTCATCCTGGTACGTACGTACATACAATGGTGCACAAGTAAGTGTTATTCCATAGGGAATCAATAGGGTTACCCAATTGTTACCAAATTTCACCTATTGTTTATTCCAAAGGGGTCAATTAGAAATCAATAAGGTTACCTGATTATTGTCAAGTCTAACAAATTTAAATGCACAAACCTATTGACCTCATTATTGAAAATATCAGGTAACCCTATTGATTTCTATTGACCTTCTTTGGTACCAAAATTTGTAAGCAATAGGTCTAAATTTAGTACGATCGAACAATCCCTATTGAATAACATTTACTTGTAGTGTGGAAATACCAGTTCCTTAGAAATATTAAATTCATTGTACGTATCAAGTATAGGTTAAATTAATTCAGCAATATAATCTTTAGGGTTGCCTATCCCACATTAATGAATAAGTTTATCATTAATATAATTAATTTAAAAGTTATTCTAGCCTTTATAATTGTTATTTAACTTTTCCATTTCAACAAATAGAAATCCTTTGATGCAAATAAGAGTTAGGATTCGGCTTTCGTAAGCACTATAAGGACAAATTAAGAAAAGAAAAGCAAGTACAATTTACAGTATACTGTATACTGTATACTGTATATTGTTTTGTAAATAAGATTTACAAAGTTTTTATGCAATATATTAAGTTATTCTATTTATTATCGTTAACTAAAAGTTACAAAATTGAATTCGTTCATTAAGAATAGCATATTATTTTATAATTGGAAATTGCAAACGCTTGTTCCAGCACTGTATGCGCCGCAGGCCAGCTAATAATCAAATTATAGTAATATTTATTTGACTAGAAACCCCTAACGAAGAATAAGGAATGTTGATTTTTCAGTTTGAATAGGTGTTGATTCCTATAGTGTTTAACCAATATATGGGTTTCCGAATTACGTGAAACTTATTTTACAAAAAGTCGACCAGATTGATCAACAGAAACATCTCTTCTACAAAATATAAAAAAACCATATTAATGCTGCATAGGAACACCGTCGAAACAAGAAATAAAACTAAATCTAATCCTAGCAGCTTTTTTCAAGTTTAATTTATAACCAAAAACAAAAAAAAAATAAAAAAAATAGTACATATACTATGCTATGTATTACAAAAAAAAAAAAAAAAAACCCCCCATTGATAAAATCATTGATAAAATCATTGATAAAATCATTGATAATAAATATCTAAATCTAGATTCTTATAAATACGTACTCAAGATATTTCAAATATCTTAAAATATATTTAACAAATAACAATATAATTTACATTCATAGTACAAATTGAATCAGTAGTAAACCTTATCTAACTATTGTAAACCAATCATTGCGATTGAATTATCAAAATTCAATATCTAAATGTTCAGATTGGTCCGCTTTAAAACCTAAAATTAATTAAATACTTTAGTTCAATTTCGATAAAATGGACGTTCAAAATTAAAATATGTATATACTTACTAGTAGCGCTTTCACCAGAAGGAGATGTAGTGCCATCATATTTAATATCAATTTCTGAAGTCTTACTATTACTTTCGGTTGGTGATCGTGGTGGTTCAAATGTATTCTCAGTTTCTGAAGGTGGAGTATTACATTTAATATCAACATCATCTGGTGTATCATCCTTAACGTCAACTCCATTTGGTGTATCGTACTTAGTATCAATTTCATCAACATCTTGTGTATCATACTTTACATTGACTTCGATTGTATTAATTACATCGGGAGAACTACATCTTACTAATTGTGAAGACTGTAGTTCACTAAAATCAAAACTTTGACTAGTATAAAATGCTAATGGATGTATTTGTTCATTTTCCTGAGATGTATGAGAATGAACTTTATGAGAACGCCAGTTTTCAGCAAGAGCAAACTCGGTATTAACTTTATATGGAAGCCGCGGAGTATCAACAATTTTTTTTAACCAATCACAAAGAGTTCTATGCAAAATATTTGCGTCTGGCCTTTTTAAAGGATCTTTATCCCAACATTGCTCCATTAACACATTCCAACAAGGAGGTGTAGAAGGAGTGTTATCGATAGGTGGGCGTAATCCATTACATATTTCCAAAGCGAGCTCGGCATCATGTGATCTATCACCGAATGGCCTTTTTCCTACAGATATTTCCCACATTATCATGGCAAAACTATAAATGTCTGATGCCTTACTAAATTCCTTACGTAGTATGACTTCTGGAGCAGCATAAGGAAGTATACATTGAACTTTACCATCATCATCAGGATCATCTACTTTACGACATAATCCTAGATCAGCAAGTGCAATAAATCCATTCTTTAATACCATAACGTTACCACAATGAATATCATGATGAATTATATCTACATGATGGATTGTTTTTAAGGCCTTTACAAGATCACATGTTATAGCCAATTTAGATTGCCATGACATATTTATAATATTTTCATTTAAATAGGTATGTAAATTTCCATTTTCAACATTTTCAAAAACCATAATAAAATTTTTAGTGACAGGATCCTTGGACATGCCATAACAATGCATAACACTATCAGTCCATATGATTGAACGATAGTATTTTTCTAGCTAAAAGAAATAAATGAACGTATATTTATATATTGATTAATATGAATACATTATTATAACATTAAACCAAATAATATAAAGGAGATATCATGATGAAGGTGAGAGTAAGTGAGAGTAATGTGGTAAATTGAAAATTCAATCAGTCACAATACGGACACTTTCATAATGAAGGTATTTTCCTCTATATATCTTTGGAAATATATTAATAATTGTTAATACAAACCTCGCTAAAGAAAGACTCAGATATGTTTTGAGAATTGTGTAATTGTCTTAGAATGACTCTTTTACGAACATCTCTTTTAAATTTCTTTTTTTCATCAGGTATAATTCGAGGACCATCCAGCCATATAGCCGAAAACAACTTTGCATAAGCACCAGAACCAATTTCTTTAACCTCTCTAAATCGATCGAATGATATCCATTCGAGATAATTCACTTCGGATGAACAATTTAATTGAGTCTCTCTGATAAAATTGTCAACTATTTTATTACCACTAGTCCATTTTGGAAAAGCAGATTTAAATCTTCTTAGTTCACAAACATGACACCAAGGACTATTAGGATCGCCGCAAGTACAAATATTTTTAATTTGTGCAACTGGTTTTGGTGCAACTTTCTTTCCGGCAAGAGTTTTAGAACCCATCGATGGTGCTCTCCCTGATCCTTTACCATATGAGTATGGAATAGGTTCACTCTTACCATATGAGTATGGAGCAGGTTCACTTCTTGACTTACCATTAGAACCTTGTTCGGAAGAAACCGTAGCATTTGCAGAAATATCGTCTCTATATTCTACTGGTCTGTGTTGTTGAGATAATAATCTTTTAGCAAATTTTTGTTGTTGTAATTTTATTTGTTCTTCTATTGATTTTATTGCTAGTTCGATAGATCCATGATGGTCATTATCCTCTATTGGAGATATAATAGATGAACTTTTTTCAGAATCAGGATCAGTTTTCTCAGATAAGGTTGGAGAAGCTTCCCGAATTCTACCGGGTCTCCTTGGAGTATGAGAACTTTTTGGAGTGTGAGAAATTTTTGGAGTATGAGAAATTTTTGGAGTATGAGAAATCTTTGGAGTAGGTGAAGCAGATTTATTTTTATCATCACCACGAGTTGGAGTTCGAGTTGGGGTTCGAGTTGGGGTTCGAGACTAACATAATGAATTGTTTAAATCGATAGTAAATTGAGATAAGTCATAAATTAACAGGTAAATAATTTAGTGTAAAATAAATACCATTGCTGACTTCTTTTTCGACGTATCTACTGCGGTCTTAGTAGTCATGATTTGTAAAAATGTGTTAACAA